TTTTCTTTGGTTATTAAAGCCAAGGACTTCCTTGTTCATAAACTAGTAAACTAATGACGAGATAAATAAATAGCCTGTGTTCTCTTTCGGGGCTCATCATCTACATGTCACAGTTTATCAGTTTTTTTATGGGTTAAATGCAGCTTTCGTGAAGTGAAACAGTGATAAACGTCTTCTAAATGTGCAAACGCAATGTAATATTTCTGTTGCACATTTAGATTGATGGAACTACATCTTTCCCCCCTTCGGCTCGAAGTAAAGAGCAGTGCGCGCTCCCGACGGGGGGTGCATTTCACGGCAGGGGTGCAGAATTTGGCACAACAAAGGTTCAGCGATATTTGAGACTGACTTCTCATCTTGATTTAGTTGCTTTAGATCATTTATCATTTCCTATTCCTGTCAGGTTTTACAACACTTTTCTCCTTCCTTCCCTCCTTGCCAGGACAAGATACTAGGACATTAATCAAATGCCTCGGAATTGTTTTCTTGTTCCTCCAGCTATATTCTGTATTCTCTTCTCTCATTAGTCTGTCTTCCCTCCTCTCCCACAGACCGTATTGGAGGTGGCAGACCGAACTGGTTTGGCCAGCGTAGTTCTGTGGAACACGCTGTGCATAGAGTGGTACCGCAGTCTTCATCCAGGACAGCTCCTTCGGCTTTCCCAGTACCGAGTAAAGGAGAGCTACCTCAGTAGGATGGGAGAGAGTCAGGAGGCGGACATAGGTATCGCAGATGCTTTATTGCTGTTTTTTTCTCAAGGAACTATGAGGCTCTTTGTAATGAGATGAATTACATAATAACTGATGTAAAGTGTAGCCAGATTTCACTGACTGTTGATGGCTGGCACCTTCTCATGGAATAATGCAGCAAAATCTTCAGCAGACAGGGTGCAACATATAAATGTAAACTGTTTTTAAATCATGATTATGAATCTAATATAATGGTGCCAGCTGTTCCTTTTCATACAAAGGCTGCTCACTTTCTGTTCCTTTTTGTGTGGTTGATCTCACAGAAATCAGTGTGAATTCCAGGAATCCTACAGCGCACATCTCTGTTATTCCACAAACTGAGGACTTTCCACAGCTGCTCCTGCCTGATATCTCGTACTCGTTCTACTGCGGGTACGGTATGACTTCCATTAGCTACAGCTCATAAAACCTTCTGCGGAGAATACAAACGTGTTTACTCCCAGCTAAACTTTACTTCCCAGTTCTTTATACCTTAAGTAATTTTGAAGTAAATAAGTCCTCTCCTTTTACTTCGTTATTCGATGAAGAGATTTGCCCAGCAGCCCAACCAGAACATTAAGAACATTAGATCTCTTCAGCCATGTTCCATTCAACCTTCAACAGGATAGACCTTCTGAACTGTTCCACTGGTGCCACCTGTGATGTCATCGGCCTGGTAGTGTTCGTTGGACGTCCAGAACGTATCAAGAGCAAGGGTAAGATACATGGTTGAAGCTGTGCTAAAGGGTAATTGCATATAATCAAATAATCAATGTGTATCAAACATCTGTTTGGCGAAATGTTATAAGGGTAGTAATAACGATTATGTAAAAGAAATCCAGAATTGTTTAGACACCGTGTTTGTGATGGGAAGGGTGCCGGTTGAAATCCCATGGTCACCGGATTGAGCTCTCAAGCAAAGCCCTTAACCCCCAATTGACCCTGCTATCTCAACTGTGTCCCTTAAGTAAGTGTCAATGTATTCTGAGTTGATTTTATAAATACATATAAACAATCAGGTATCTGCTATGTTTACAGAAAGTCAGGGAGCAGAATTATGGGAATATCGCTGGCTACAGTTGGAGGATGGGACCACAGACTTTCCGATCGTGATTCAGCTGTTCTCCACATCACAGCCGGAAATACACTGCAGAATACACCCAAGTAAGGCCACTCATGCCTGTCCTTCACAGAATGACCCCAGCTTCCGAATCTGAAAAGAAAGTCACCCGTTCTTGATTTTATTGTCTTGGAACTCCTTGGATTTTTGTATTGGCTAGTTCTTAATGAGGCTTCTTTTACAGTGATTTTCCACTAATTATGAAATTGATGTATATCTGTCTATTCCTCTGTATTTCTGCTGGCACTGATTCACATGCTTGGACTGCTTCTCAGTGTCCATAGTGGTCTGTACAAACATGCAGCTGGTGAAAACCGCTCCTGACAGACTGTCGTCTTTCCAGTACCTGACCAGCACGACTTTCACCCAGGTGTACTGCACAGGTGAGGTAGCCAATGTTGTCATTGCTTAATAGACCACCTGTGTTGAGGTATGGGATCTGTTAATTGTTTTATTTCTGTCACTTCTGTGTATGAGTGAGTGAAAGTAGAACTGCTGTCTGACAATTCTTTCTTGTGAAAAGTCAAATAATGTGTTATTACACACAAAAACAGGTTGGCTTGTAGAATCTTTCATGTTTTTGTGAAACATTCAGGTTCAGGTCACCACTCTGCCATGCCCTACAGAAGACTCCGCCCAGTCCGGCGTTTCATCCAATGGGCACAGACGGTGGACGAGAGCCGATTGCTGGGCAGAGTGGTTGTGGGTGGGTTCTTCACCTATCCACCCCTCCCAGTGTCACTGGAGCAGTTCCTGAAGAGCAAAAAGGGTACTGACCTCATAACCTTCCCAGTCTCTTCTTTATTAGTATCAGAGAACATATAGCTGGTTATATTTAGTCTTTGGGCACTTTTCCATTAAACCAGTTCCTGAACTTTTGGTACTTCAAAATAGTACCAAAGTCAAGGGTGCTTTTTGTGTTTGTTTTTCACTGATGTGAAAACTGGTCCCGGCACAGAATGACATAATTACAAAATGAGGTGCTTTCTTTTGTAATGAATTATGAAATGGCTATTATTCTTTATTATAGGGTTGGGCATATAAATATTGCCTTCGCATGTTATGCACACACAGTTCTGACATCACAAGAACTGGAATAGCTGGGTTGAGATCAGGCCTTTTGAAACATCCATACAATCCAGTCATTATTACTCTGTCATAGGAAACAAATCTTAGCAAGCTTTGCACTTTTAATGATTTTTCTTTTTCGAGATTATTTTGTGTATGTTAAATCAGTTTAAAGTAATTTAGGTACATTTTGAATTCCTTATTTGCTTTATAAATATTGCAGTATTGTCCCAGTATCATGCAGCCTTTGTATATTACAGCAGAAACTTTAGATGTGCCGGCCACGTCTCGTGCATCATCATTTCATTTAGATGTGCTGACCACATCTCGTTCATCACCATTTCATTTCACTTCATTGTCCACGCATCCATTATTATTACTTTGTAATTTATTGTTTTACTTTAATTTTTAATTGTTTTATGAGTTCGTAACTATGCTTTTTCAAGATGGCAGTTTTATAAGGCAGGTTATTTGCATAATCAGTCAATAATAAATACGTTTGCAAGTCATACCCCAAAGTGTCAAAGTACCAAACAGGTACCCCTTTCTGGTTTGGTACTGGACCAAAACTCAATGGAAAAAGGGCAGTACCGGTTTTCTAGTACCAAAACTTTGGTACCTGGTGAGGTAGAGAAGTGCCATTAAACGTGCTGTAAAAAGCTCTTAAGAAGTGTGGCCTGTGCCCTCTCAGGTATTCTGGCAGTGTCTAATTCACACTCAAAAGAGCCGTGTTAGATAGAAGCACAGAAATGTGAGTGAGCTAAGCCAGGCTATCCAGCAGGGACAGATTAATGCCTAGAGCCCCAGCAAATGTCAGGCCCTGCCCCGCCTCTGGAAAAGTGGAACGGTCAAATTTACAAAATCGATCTGCCAGTCCTTCTGCCCCGGCTCGGCCAACTTTATTGCCGGCTCCTCATGCTGATTAGCAGATTATTGACGTTACGTCGCTTTTCATTGTCTCTCATTTCTCTTTGTGGCCCACCTGGGAGTAGACCTCCTAGCCATGTCAGTCTTGGGTGTCTATATAAGTTAATCTGCCCCCTGCTGGCCAGCTATGTTATAGGCTGTCACGGCCCTGGGTAAAGCAAGCCAATGGATAGGTAGGTACTGGGGCAGGGTGGGTATGGAGAGGCCTTCCGCAGCACTGTGAAGGAAGGTGGGGATGGGGGCACAGGGTGGCCCCAAGGCGTGACATTTCGCTCCCCAGGCGAGCCGGCCCTCGTCAGCGGGGCGGAGCTGAGGAGGGAGGCGGAGAGGCTGCAGTACAGAGAGATGCGCAGGTTCGCCGTCCAGGCCACGATCACCGCGGTGTCACACAGCGGCACAGGAGGGGTGAGGGCGCGCAAAAACACACACATGCATGCACACGTACCCTGGCACGGGACGAGACTCGCTCGCACGGGCCACATCTGCATCAGGTTGCCTTTAATAAAAATACCCTTATAGCTCTAAAGTAACATTTAACGTCTTTCGCCGTCATGGGTTTTACACCTTTTCCAGACGACCAGCCTGCTTGCTGTCTCTGACTCTGCCGCATCCCCTTCTGTGTGCTCCCAGTTGGACCACAGCGGAGCCGTTCCTGACCCGGCGACCCAGTGGATTCCCGTCATTCCGGGTTGTTCGGGCACATACCCCGAGCCCAATTCCCCGCAAACCTCCGTCAAGCTCAGTCCCAGATCTCCCAGACTGCGGGCGAGGTGAGGACGTTACCTTCTTTTAATTTGCTGGCCCGATGTCCGTGTGCCAGAGGTCGGTGCCAACGAGCTGGTCCAGCTGCTGGACTTGGTGCCGGTGTTTGTGCTGCTGCAGGTCTGGATCGGTTCAGAACGGGTCAGCGGCAAAGACGAAGCTGTTTGGAAGCATGGAGCCACCCAGGAAGAGGTGAGTGCTTGTGTGTAATTCTGTATTTCTTTATTTCTTCTTTCTTTGTGTGTTTGTTCTTTTGTTTGGATCTTTTGGTTCTCCCTTGTCTCCTGCAGGTTGGCCCTGCCTCTCCGCCCCACAGAAGAATCGAACACAGAGGAGGAGGCAGACATAGGTGACTGCCTGGCTTTCTGAGTGTCTGTTCATCACCAGGATGTAAAGCAGTGCTCTTCAAATCTGGCCCTCAATTCCAAATCCATCCCTTGTTTTCAGTTCTCCCAGGTAGTTAGTTTTATAATGACTGATTCTGATTGGCCACAGAGGCTTCATACCCAGCTCACGGGTAAAGGAAGGCTGCAAAATCAACAGTTCTTAGCCCTTGAGGACCGTGATTTGAATAACCCTGATCTAAGATCTGTAATTTTGCCCATATCAACCATCCCTTGGTCTTTGTGTTTCTCTGCATAGGCTGAGTAATTTTGAACCTGGAACCCTTGAGTTCTATCTATAATCTTCAGCTGCAGAAATAATACCAGTGTCAAAGCTTTGGTCATCACCAGCCATATTGTTGTTATCAATCACACCTTTAACTATAAAATATCACTCTGTCCAAAAAGTACTTGTTAGGGATGATCAGTACTGACAGCAGCCTGTGTTTCCCTTCCGTGTGAGGAAGACTACACCTTGTGGGATGCTTCTATGGAGTTCCTGGAGAAGGAGGATGATGAGGAGGATGAGGCAGATGAAGAGCAGGCTGGCTCCGTAGGGATCGTCCATCCTGACCCCGTGGGCCTCCACACTTCCCAGTGCCCCACGCTGGGTGTGGCTCTTGCCCCCAGGGAGACCGTGCCGAGGCAGTTTCACCCCCAGAGGAGGGAGGTCCAGATGGCAGCGGCCGGCCTCCAGCCAGGCCGGCTGCAGGACACCCTCCCGTGCGGCAAGCTGGACACGTTTGCGCCAAGCGCTTTCTACAGCGGACACTACACGCTGGCCCTCAGAGGTGGGCCCTCCTCCCTTTGCTGGCCATAACTCCAGCTTTGCAAACAAAACTCAGCATATTGCCATTCTGATCTGCAGCTTCTCTCATAGGCGACTCTGGGCTTTTCTCCCAGGGTACAAGATGAGAGAGCCCAACCAGTCATTCATTACGGGCTGTGCAACACTGAGCCACGCATGTAAATTTGTAAAAAAGAAAAAAAAAAGTTTATAATAAATTATTATTACATTTTGGAATCACTAGCACAATCCACATTTTCCAAAAAAAAAAAAAAAAAATTTAATTGAACTTGAAATGTTCTAATAGAATTCTAATCTGACCAGTAGGGGGCGGAGTTGCATCCCTGGTAAAATCACCCATGGCTTCCCTTGATCTTTTAGGACCTTTCTGTTACTAACCAAGCTTCTACGACAAACTTTCATTGCTTCTATCTTTCTCTAGCCTTCTTCTAACACATCCTGCTATCCCTAACTTAAGCTCTCCTTATACCTGTCCATCTCTGCAGCTCTCACCGACAGCGTCTCGGTGAACGCCCTGTTTCTCCCTGCCTCCCCTGGGAACCTGCACTGGTGCCCCTACCCCCAGCCCCACAGCAACAGCTGGGAGGACATCCTGTCACATGGAGGCTTTTCTCCATCCTCCCCCCCACCAGCACCCTGTGAGTATATCCGTAAATATCACTGTGTCCATAAATATCACTGTGTCCATAAATATCAGTGTCACTTAATTTCCTGTGCTTCTGTGACCCTGTTTTTTTTTGTTTTGTTTGTTTCCTCCATATTTGTGAAGCTGATCTGGTCGCCACGGCAACTGAACTGACCAGTAAGAGGCTGCTGTGTGTACTGGAGGTATGTCAGCTGGGCAGGGCCAGGCTGGAGGTGGTGCTGACCCGGGCATTTGCAGTAAGGGACTGAATGGACGCACACTTGTATATACGCCAGCGGACCTGTTTTCTTTACTAATAAAGTTAGTTATGGAGATAGCGATGTTTTGTGCAGCACTAATCCACCTTGAGACCAGTTATACCATTTGCCAAATAGTTGCATTTAGTCAAGAATTTTTTTTTTTGATATTCAGTCTAGATCGTGCCACTCCAGTCGTGAAACTGAAAGATATGTATCATTTTTCACGATACCGACGTTACACTTGCTGAAGTTTGTTTATGCACTAAAATGCACTTTTACTTTTAAAAGTTTTATACAATTGCAGATGTTTTACTAGGATTTCTGAGGAAATTGTATTTAAAGACATTCAGTCTTTGTTGAAAGTCTTTCATTTTTCTAGACTTTTTTGGATTTCTTTATTTTGCAGACCTGTGGATCTGGACGTTAGCTCTGTAAGTCGGTGAACATCAGCAGGTGGAGACACAGTAGACTAACGTGAATAAAGTACAGTGGTACCTCGGTTCACGAGCTTAATCCGTTCCCGACTCCAGATCGAATCTTAAAAAGTTCAAGTTCTGATCGAATTTTTCCCATAAGAAATAATGGAAAACCAATTAATTGGTTCCCGGCCCCAAAATTACACCTAAATATGTTTCTTTTTTCTTTTTAGCATTTAAACACAAAATGAACAGGATAAAACAAGAAGAGCATTTTTTTCTTAATGGCTTCCAAAACGATAAAGATCTTATCCCAATATTACCCCTGTCCTGCCCCAATCGTCCGCTCCTTCTGTGTGCCACGCCCCCTCGTTAACCTCGTGTGGGATTCCCATGTGATCAGCTGTTTCTGGTTGTTGTCATTAGTTCTCTGTATTAATAGTCCGCGTTTCAGTTTGTTTCTCCAGTCCGGTCATTGGGTGAGTTCGACTTCCTTACAGCGCTGGCTTAAAGCAATGCATTCTGATCCTGACGCAATGCATTACGGTTAGATGCATTGCGATCTCTCACCTGGCTGCCCAAACTGGAACCACCTCCGTGACGACACACCTTTGCCCTTATTGGCTGAAGAGTTTAGTTACACGCATGATGTTTGTATCCCAGGCAGTTCTGATGCGTAATCTGCTATTTCTCCCGAATACCACGTAAAGCAGTGAGAACTGGTTTTCAGTTAATTTACCTGGTAAAATAAAGTTTAAATAAATGCTCTAATAGTACATGTAAGTTAGTGGTTTATTTATTGTTAGTTATGTAATGTTGTGCTGCTTTATTTGGTTAATCGTCCAGTCTGTGAAGAAGGCATTCAAGTAAGAATTGCATTGTAGTATGACTCATTTCCTGGCGCGTACAATTTATATTAGGTCAACGTTCACGGTTCGACTTCTGATATTCAGATCGAGTTCTAGGTCAAACTGGTTTGTTTGACTTTCAAGAAATTCGAGTTCTAGTGAGTTCGAGAACCGAGGTACCACTGTATTTACAGGCTGTCAGCGGGGACAGGGGTGACCTCAGTGCGAGTGAGAAAGTTCTACATGCCACTGTTACCTGTGAGTGAAATGGAGATCAGTATGTTAAGCTCATTAACCGCTTAAAGAAATTCTAGACATTCTGTGATTACTCACTGGTAACTTAAGCAGTGGGTGTGGCCACCAGTACTGTTATAGTGTTATGATGGGTGCAGTATTCCTCTCAACAATGTCTAAGTACCATTTCATTACTTTTTGTTCGTTCTTGTATTTTTCTTATCGTAGGCTGAATACATCATGGGCTTTGGTTCCTGTTGGCCCCTAGGGCACAGAACCTGAGTCCTTGTACGCCATCATCCATCCCTGTGTGGCTGGGGTTTCACATACCAAGACTAAGTTCTTAAACCCTGAACATGCTTCTTGATTGTTGATTTGTACATCCAATCTGATTGGATTCATCTGGAATAAAGCGTGTCTAATTTCAGTTTTTGGACTGCCGTTCTATCCAGGATTTTCCCTGATTTCTGCTCCCTGTGCACAATCTAATAATTGTTTTGCTTCACTGGTTGTACTGAATCTTATGAGCCCTCCCTGTCAGAACTGGTGCCGTAGATCTTGGAAGAGAGCTGAGTAGATCTGTTCGCAGCACTGCTCAGCAGGATCACCAGCCTGACATTCTCTGTGCCAAGCAGCCATTGCTCGTCATAGACTGTAATATTATTTCACTTCTGCAGTTAAGATCTATAGTTAAATTACATTTGTTTTTATAACATATAGAGGACACATGTTCATTTACAGGTTCTGAGATTAGCAAGTCTATTTTTATTAGAGGCTTTGTATATTCATACAGCACAGTCGTCACGCAGAATTTTTATTCAAAATTAAACTACTAATACTAAGTGCTCGCAACGTAGCATGGATTGTTATTCAAAATATTGTGGATTTCTAATGAACACATTTACAACTTTAAATACAACTTAATCATTTCAACAAACACTTAAAAGCCACTAAAACTTTAGTCCACATTTAATGATCACTGCTTAAGTGATACTTATTGCTATTTGTTGTGTTAAAGGCACAAATATGTCTGTTACTATAGCCCAGGGCTTCAAAGATGCTACAAAAGCCTTGTTTGTATATTCAGCCTACTGTTGCGGGGTGGGGTGTAACCTAAAGGGATGCTGTTTCTCTGTAGTTCTGCAGTATCGCTGAAGAATGAGTCACATGCTGAGTGGAGGTAAAATATGGCAGTTGTATATCAACAAGGTCGGTTTGTGTGGGGGAAAACTATGGATGCCAGTTAAGACCTTTTCCATTAGGTTAAAAAGGCAAAGAAAGGTTAGGCCTACACCACTGGGGTTTTCAAGCCCATTGTGGTTAACACGAATGCACTTCAAAAGGCAGTGAAACTGATTTATTGCACAAGCGGTGGCATGCCCGTAAACTAAAGTAACATAAGGTGTCTTGATAATGTGCATGTAAACTTTTAACGGTACTCGCTCCGCTTGTCATTCTGCATTATCAAAAGCTAAATTAATGGGACTTAGTGGTATCAGTGAGGAGGAGGCATGGTCGTGCTTCGCACGGTGTCGGTTTCGTTTCAGTACCGAATAAAGCGCAGGGAGCGACTATTAAGAATGTCGGAAGGGTCCGGGAAAACCGAGTCTAGGCGAAAGCCCTCAGCCATGGCGATTTTAAGCATCTCTTCCATAAAGGTGCGAGTGTCGGGGATCCCCGAACTCGTCGACGCGTCGGGGATCCTGGACGAGGAGACGACTGTCAGCTCTTGATAGCGGTGCTTCTCGTACAGGTCCTGGGGCAGATCTTCGGGTCGGGGCACCCACTCCATGCGCAGGTAATTCGGCTTTCCTTGGCTGGGCTGCGGCGCCAGGACCTTTTCCTGTGCCCGGTAGGAAAAGCGGGCGCAGAGGGACTCTATGACGGCACAGGAGGTACAGAAGACGTTGGCGGTGTAAACGCGCACGGCGCAGGAGCGCAGCTCGTAGTTCTCGGGGCCGCGCTTCAGGTTGAAGTGCAGGATGCGCACCTGACAGTCCGCGTCCGCGTTCAGCACAGCGCTGCGGCGCGCGGCCCCGTGAGGACCCAGCTCGTAACGCCGAATTTCGTCCAGCAGGGGCCGGATTTGGAAGAAGTCCGCTTCTCGCTTGAGCAGCGCCATCTCCTTAAAGTCATCGGGCAGGTCCAAGCTGTTGGACCGCAGGTAGTTCAGTATGTAGCGGAACACCTTGCCGTCTCGGTCGATGAAGAAGTTGCCCCGCCGGTCCCGCAGGAGAGGGATCTGACCCGTGAACATGGCCCCCAGCATGGAGTCCCTGCAGCGCGTCAGCGTGTCCAGGGTGGTGGTGTACACCTCGCCTCCAACACTGAGGGACACTGGGTCCTGAAGTGAATTACTGTCCGTGTTGTTCAGATTGAGCATGTTGTCAGCAGGATCTTTCAATTTCCCCTTTAAATTCACAATTAGTTCACGCAGTGAAGAACTATTCAAGTAGACAAACACTAGCTGAAAAGTTTACTATAAAGAAAAATAGTCTGCCGGACTAATTGAAGTTCCAGACACCGACTTTTACTTTTACAACATTTACTTTTGAACGACGCTGAAAGTCATTCGATAAAATGCTTTTGCGCTGCCCTCGATCCCTGTTTATCTGTATTCTCCGTACCCTCTTTTATTTAACAGACTGAGTTCATTGCATAACTGTTTTGTCGGGCGATCCGGCTCAGTGCCCAAGTTGGAATCCTAGGAGGCGCCAGTAGACTTGCACGGTAGTCACATCCAGACTATTACTCAGCATTGCATCGCCTTTTCTTTTTCTTCCAATTTACCTTAAACCTCGCTGGGATATCCGGGTACTGAAGCAAGGGGCGTTTCTTTCTACATAAAGGCCTTTTGGGATCCTCGGGCAGAAAGAGCACTTTGTGGGCAGAACAATGCACGCTTGCCCGAGCCAGCCCCACAGGATCGTCCGTGTCATTCACTCTCCACAAGCTCATTCTTGTCGCTCTCCGTGCCCTGCCAGTTCAGCTCCCCCCTATCTGCATGTATGCCTTTTCTTTAGAGTCATGCAAAAATAATGCATCTGGATGCCGTGTTCATTGCCTTTAGGCAGCACCTGCTTTGGTACTCGCCAAACGCTAACCCCTGGGGTAATTGCGCAATACCAGCCGAGTTGAGCTGCACATTGCAGATTTTTCCAAGATGGCGGGTTATGCTGGCAGTAGGAATTGTTGCCTTGAATATGTAATTATTTTGCAATGTAATTGGGAATTTTGTGTCAAATTATAGGCAATCATATCCATTGTCGGGACAGGAAGACGTAGACATTCTTACAATGGGGCTTTTCTGAGCGAGGAAAAAAAAGTTAACTTGATTCTTTCTGTTTAGTAGATTTAAATTGTTTTGTATTTATGATAAGTGGGTATAGAAAATGAATGGATGATGTAATAGTGATTTTATTATTGAAAAGGAACGTAACGTAATTACTAATTATGTGTATGCGAACTTATGGTTCTTACTGGCTGAACAATCACTAATTAGCCTAGTATTTATCTGAAAGTAAACCTACTGTACCAGTTTGAGAAAAACTGTTCTTGCTGTGACATTATCATGTCATCTAAACATGAACACCAAACACAAGTACCTGTCAGCTAGGATTAATAACTTATGACTTAGTCCACCTGTATGTCAAGTACATTAGAGCCGTGTAATATAGGCCTATATGTCTGTACATTCTGATATATTTCTTACAGTACATCTCGCTAAGGGCTCACAGTGTACTTCATACGGCCTAATTACTTCGCAACGTTTCTTAAATGACAAAACATCGCTAAAACAAAATAATCAAGAAAATTATTGTATCATGTTAAGATGATGGATGGAATCGTTGTATTAATTATCAGATGTTACTGATAAGTTTCAGTGAGCTGAGTTTCTTTAAATTACTGTAAGAATTTAGTGTGAAACCTGTAATCCAGGAATATGCGTGAAGTGGTTCGTCGGATTTCCTTAAATGCTCACCTTTACTAGGACAAACTCATGCATAAAGGTAATATTTACTATTGTGCTGAAAATACAGTAATTAGTTCGAATACAAGTCATTGATATGTCCATGCGCGACCCTCTTTGTGGAGCTACAGCGCACTCTAGCGTTGGTTGTGAGTCAGTTACAACAACTGCTTTAGAGACCCGCTATTCACACAAATTTACACCTGTATGATTTGCTGGCCGTCCACCTAATATCACGCGTAAAAGTGACTAGGCCTCTTTATTGGGATGTTTCTGTCATTTTGTCCAGAACTCTCATTTCAAAGTCCGTTTAAAGTCAAATTTAATAATTCTGTCCACATATAATCAATCTTGTAATGAAATATGATAAACACAGAGCTTCAGAATACGAAAGGATATTTCGGAACAACAGGCAGCAGCTGTATACCTGCCGGTGTCACTCACACACGACAGTGGATCACCCTGCGAAAGAGATCTGCCTCCTGCTGTTCGCGGCCACTCGCCACGGTTATAACTGCAAGGTCGGAGAGACACGTACACGTACCCCCCCCCCCCCCCCCCCCGCATCGCCCCGCCCCGCCCCGCCCCGTACAGGAGGCGTGGCTTTTGCCGTCACTCGGGCGCTTCGGACACTATGGCTTTGCAGACGAAGCGGTACAGCCGGCTGCAGTGGTCGTCGTTGAGCCTGCCGTCGTCGTGCAGGTGCGCGCAGTCTTCGCCTCCTCCCAAGCCGTGATGTCTCCAGTTATCCGGCTGGTTCGGTTTCCAGCGCCTAAGGGTAAGTAGATTGGATGGAGAGGGAAAACTCAGTTACACAGTGGAAACAGGGTTATACAAAAAAAAACAAAAACCAAATACACACACATATAAGATTAATTAAAGTAGGGGTGTCCAATAATGTAAATCTGCTGGGGGCAACATCACTTATAGTGGCATTGGTGGGGTGGAGTAGCCGGTTTTATTCCTTGCGGTTTCTCTTTACAGTTTCAATTAAGTTGGTATTTGAAGACTGACTGTACAGAACCTGGAGTTTCCCATGTAAAACAGGTGCTCTTTGGAATAAAGTGTTAAACCGTATATTGG